TTTTTTTTTCTTTCATATATTGTGACACCCCGCTCTGCGTCACCCACCGAGTGCTCTACTCAGAACCAAGGGGAAATTTGTTTATATTTCCAGCCATTTCCGAGTTACGAGCAAAAACCATTTTTTTTTCTTATACTGTGTGACATCATAGATCGATAACGAAGGCTTAACAAGGCCACCCGCTCTACCCCACGTTCCCTCCCTAGGTGCCCTGAAATTGCTGGAGAGACTCCTGAAGACAGCAGAGAGAGAGAGATAAGCTCTCTATGAGGACAGAGTCACTCTATCTCTATCGCACACTATAACTTCTATCTCTCTCGCACACAATCAGACAAAAACGACAGAAACGAACCTTCTTTTAAAAATACATGGGATTTATCATTATTAGAATAACCCATTTTAATTTAAAAAATTTAAAAAATTACAATGGGTTATTCTAATGACGAAAAATAAAACATAATTAACTGTATTATTCAAATAACAATAATGCGCAAAAGTTCTTCAGGAATATTGGCAAATTTATTTTGGAGGAAGAATCCCGTCAACGAACACTAAAAAATATTATTAGAAACCTTAGGTGGCCAGAAAACAGCCCCGATCTCATTGTCAGTCCTTTGGACATATTTTTTTTTACCTGAAAGTTTGTAAGTATTGAAAAAAAATACAGGACGAAATGCTTGACAAATTTGAATTTGTTTTTGAAGCAGTTAATAGTAAATTGAAACATATTTTCAACTGTATCATCACAATCACTTGTATGTTGATTTGTAAAAATTGTAGGTATATTAATGTTATTTCGTTTTTAGTTATTCTCCTTATGTTGTTGTAAAGGTTAGTTATAAAAAGCGTTGTTTGTTATTTTCATAAGGATGAATTTAAATTTTTTTTTATGATTTTTTTATTTTAAACATATATTTTATGCCAGTAAATTTTGATGTCAAATGAAATAAAGGAAAAGTCGTACATTTATATTTAAAGTTTCTTTCTATCTTTAATTATTATTAAACCTATAAGTGGATGTCAAAATACAAAAAAAAAACCTGTACCTATATTCCGCGACGTACTAATAACCCACCTTGTATATTAAATAAATTTATCGTCATCATCAAATATCAAAAAAATTATATTACAAGCTGTTTAAAATATTAGAATTTTGTTTATTTGGAAATATATTTTCTGCAGTATTTCAATACCAAAAAATGAAAATAGTAGGTAGCTAATTAACGAAATTATGATTAAATAACTTAATTGTAACACCACTGCAGAATATCATATGATACATACATAGATATTCGTTGATTCTTTAAAAACATTTTTATCAATACCTACATCATACATTGAAGTAAATACAGTAACGCAAAAAACAGATATTGATAAAAAAAAGTGTACAAAAGAAATCCGTAAGTACGCCTGGCAACATTACCAAAGTCTTGTTTATATGTTGCTAGGATACGCTTAGGTATGCGGGCCGCTGTATTTGATTCTTCCTAAAATTCTGCTGGTGGTGTACTCTACCGGCAATTCGGAAATTTAAAACTGCTGGCCTATTCCAGGAGCGGTTTGTGGCGATAGCTATTTTGTCTGTGGTATAACTTTAATAAGGCCCGGTTTTTCAATCACACATACTTGACGAACACTATTCAAATGAAGATTTCGTGATAGTAATATACAATTAAAAGCTAATTTACAAATACATTTTTGATTAAGTTAACCTACAATTTTGGAGGAAATTGTTATTTCTTAATTTCAATAGAAGAAAATAAAATTGAGTTAACTGCTAGTTAGTGATAACCATTATTTAGTTACTCATATGGCGATAACCAACAATTAAAAACTGGGCCTAAAAGTTATGAATATTTCATTAGTTACATTTCAAAATCTCGGAAGTGTTTTACCACTGCATTTTCCACCATTAGCTTTGAATATTTACGGTTTTTTTTAATCTGAAAGAGATTATTTGAATTGAAAAATTAAAAAAAAATATAGACACATAAAATTATACATTAAAAATAGTTTGCTACTGAAGAACAAAATAATACATTAACTTGAGTTTCAGGCTTCTTTAAAATCTGAGCCCATAAATTTCCATTCAGTATTTACGAATGTAATGAATCTTTTGGTAAATTTATTGATGGACCTCATCTTTTAACACCAAAAAAATAGTAATGTATAATATGCAAGAATACCATTATTCATCAATTTTGTTAAGTACAAAATGTAATCGTCATATGTATATTGCAAGATTTCACTATTTATAAGATTTGTAGTAACAAAAAAAAAAGAAAATTAATATAAAAAATATATTAGTTTAAAATACATATAACAAAAAAAAATAATTTTTAAATTAACAAAAATATATATAACACCACGAAAATACGTACCACTACAAACGAAAACTTAATCTCAACGAAACTCATGGCGGTCATGGCAGGATCAGGTAGACATAATGTTATTTTTAGGCACCAATCATACCGCGGGGACTTTTCAGAAATTTCAACACTAGCGCTCTACGGTGAACATGTACGTAACTAAGATTTAGTGTATTTTAACCTGCATAACAAAAATATCTTCAAGATAAACCATAGAGATTCCATTATATTTTATGTGTTATGTGGTATTATCTCTTGAAAATATCGGTAAACAGTTTAAGACCACCCTGTACATCGTAGTAATTACGACTTTTTTTTTTGTTTCAGCCACCCGTCGTCCCTAAAATAATGTATGAAGGTGACGCGAGCAACTTTGATGACTATCCAGAAGGTGACTGGAAATCATCAAGAACTTTAGAAGATTCGGAGTTAAAGCTATTTGAAGATTTTTGATGAATTTATTTTCTTATTAATTTGTACCTATAGGAAGTTAGAAAGCTTGTAATAGCCACTACACTCGAATACTGTGTAAGCTAACCAAAAATTGAAAATATCTAGAGTAGAAGGAAGTGGTGCTACTTCGTATGTTTTGAAAATATTGTGATATAAGTAATACTGAGATAAGCTTAATTTTTATAGGACATTTGTATATATTAATTGTTACTGAGTGTGATTTATTAGTAGAGCGAACCTAAAATATATTATTAAAAAGTTAGAACAAACATGAAGGGTATAATGTTTTTGTTAATTTTTTAGTCAGATTTAACAATGTAAATATTAATTTTTAAATAGTATTAAATAAATATACGATTATTTATTATACGATTGTTATTGTAACAGTAATAAGAAATTATTAATAAAACTTTTTATAAAATTGTGGTACTATTTTATTTATCATATTTAAGATACGTTTATGAATCCAATGAACGGTCTGTCAAATATGTTTATACATATACATAAAATAGGTACCTTGTTAAGATCATTTTTAAATATGCGACACAAAAAGCATTAATATCTCGTAAACAAGTTATCATTTCATTAATTTCGACTTTTGAAAACAAATAATAAAATCGTTATCTCCCGAATATTAACAGAAATAAAAATTGAGATAACTGTCTAGATAAGATAAGATATTTTACACTCTGAACAGCTAGCTCACATTTGCCGAGTCAGAACAACATCAAAATGTGAAATAATGTATTTAAAATTAAATTATCTGCTTCTCTAATTTTAAAACGTAGTGACAAGGTGTTGTTTTAAGTGTATGTAGTGGAAGTGTCAAAATTTAAAACATGAATAGTCCACATCCGGAAATTCCGGAAAGAATAAACAAAGACAGCATTGTTAAGTTGATTAGTTTGTTTGAGGTTAAAAGGCCAAAAAGATCCTCCCATTCAACGTTAAGAAAAACGAAAAGTATTCCGTCACTTGTAACAGCAGTCAGTTCTGATGAAGACGATATTAAACCTAACGATAAAAGGACATCTCTAACGCATTCTTCCTCATCTAAGAGCAAAATTAAACGTAGAACAAAAAGCACAAGAAGCACTTCTCATGAAGACGATTGTGATAACAGAATAAAACATGTTATTGAAGAAATTGAAAGAACTAATAAAATGGTTGACGATTTTGGTAACAAATTAAAAATGAGAAGACAGAAGTCTATCATTCATACAGAACGTGCAGATGAATGTCAGCATCCAAAACCTAGTTCCTGTAAAGTAGATAAAAGGGTTAAATATGCTTATGATGACACTAATAATAGAATGAATTACTCAGATGGAGATGCAGATCCTTATGCAAAAAGTGTTCAGTCGCTGGATAGACGTTTTTCTAAAAACGATAGTAAAAAGAGGTATTCATCTACAAATACAATCTGCAAAGAACTGATTTCAAGAAAGCGCAACAAAGGGAGTCCAGAAAAAATTCAAAATTTCGCAGACGCTAAATCAGAAAATGAAATTGAATTTTACAGGAAAAATCTTGTTAATGAAATCGATTTAGCATTGAAAAAATTAAAAATAGATGGGTTTATAGACGATGAAGAAAACTGTATTCAAAATATTACTCAAGAAGACGAATACGTTTCCTTCGAAGGGGTGGTTAAAGAACTTGAGACTGAGAAAAAAACAACTTGGGCTGAGCGGCTTAATGTTAGACGAGAAAGTATGCAATTTGTGCAAAATGATGAAGACTACATATCACAACAAGTAGATCCAGAGGTAGAAGACAGTACAGAGCAAGAAAATAAATTGCTGCATTATAGTACATTATCTGACAACAATGAAAGTGAAAATAATGAATTGGATAACGAAAGTGAAGACATGTATGTTGCAAGTAATATTTCTCCAATAATGTACGGGAACATCACAGATGACGAATTTGGAGAGAGTCTTGCCGATGATTTAGAAGAGAATGGATCATATTTTGTAGAAGCATACAATGACGAAGGCAAAGAACTGATAATAGTGGAGATTGCAGTAGAGCGAAGAGCTGTCGATTTAAGTCAATTAGATACGATAGCTGAGTCAATTGAGAACTCTGACATTGTCTTCCACCAAAACGACGATAAGTCCCTCAATATTATCGAAAATCCTAAGGAATTCGTCAGTGCTGAAAGTGTTTCCAGTGGATTCTTCACTAATCCAGAATCTAACAGGTCTACTGTATATTCGACTGCATCGAGAGACAGTGAGTTATATGATACGGATGACGAAGGCATTAGCTTGGGGAATGGACAAAAACACGAAGATGAAGACGGTTTTAATTATAGACGCGAAACTTTCTGTGATATTAAAGGCATTGTGAGAATAGAAAGAGTCGGAGGATATCCAGGGATTGAAAATGGGGATGATGTAGGAGAGCCCATGTCGCCAGTAAGCCGCAATGACTCCTTTACACAAAAGGGAACGTAAGTTTATTCTTTTATGCAGGGTGTCCTGTTTATGAAGATACAATGTTTTAGTTTCAATATTTGTCAAAGTTTAAAAGATAATATAAAAATTATATTCAGTGAATCATGGTACCTAGTCAATTATGTTAAATATCAATTAATTAACAATTTTTGTCTGATCAAATTTTTAATTCGTTTGCTTGATAACCTAATTTGCTGTTATATTTTGCAGCAATGAACTGTTTAAAGACTGAATAAAAAAATAAAAAATAAAAAATTGTTAAATACTTGGTGCATGAACCATAAGACTCTTCTAATATGCAAAGGCACATCGAATAGATTTGGCAAAGCATGTTTCAAGAAATTTAGATACCATTTAGCCCTGGCGGTAACTCTACTACGCTACTAACAGGTTTTAATAGATGATCATCGATTATTCTAGCCCATACATTAATGGCAAATTGATGATGGGAATAGGGCACAGTTGTTGTTTTGAATTGTCTCCATTTGTAACTGTTGTGTAAGATATTTTTGGTAAATTGACTTGATGTTATTTAGAGAACTAAATAAAGGAGTACGTTCTAGCATAACCTCACTATTTTAGCAATAACTTGAAAACGAAAAAAGATATCGACCTCCGGTTAGTGTATTTGTTTTCCATAATGAATGGTCTATCAAGCCATGAATAAAAACCTATATCGTTGCATTTAATTTTTTTAATAAACGGTGACAATTACAAAACTTTTCTCATTAGCGTCGTCTACCGTTGCACAGGAAAATAATATTTTCATTTCTATATCATTAAAATAAATTTTATTGATAGGTAGTTCTTTAAAATGAGCCATCGTTTATTGAAATCGATTAAGGCATTTAGAAGTTATGACAATTTAAAAATTTTAAAATGGCGTCCTTCATACTGGTGTTGCTATGGTAATAACAAAAAAAAGTTCAAACAAAACTTGTGAAGGGTGTATTTGCAACTTAGGTTATATAAGCGAAATTTCGAAAAACCGACAATTTTCTATAACACCATAGCAGTTGCGCCCCCTAGCGGTGAAGTTACAAACTTGAAAATATTTTAAATAAATTTTTTTTGGTCGTATTTGTTAATAGATTTTTTACGCCATAATCGTAGCACGTCTAGTTTTCTATACATAGCCGCTCCATACCGTTAATGGATCACCCTGTATAAGATATAAAGGGGACTACATCAAATATTTCAAACAAAATTTTAAGTTCCTAAAGTGGAGAAGTAATAAATAATAATAAATAATAAATAAAAAAATAAATGCGTATTTATGTAAATAAATTTGTTTTAATGCATTCAAAGGTAACTGATAAAATATTAAGGATGTTTAAGGAATTTTGACTATTACCATATTTTGCCTTTAATTATATCTCACAACTATGCTCATCTAAGCCACTGCATTGGAAATAAAACAGTTTGCTCATTATTCTTGACATAGCACAGTCAAGTTTATCTTTAGCTAAATTGACAACCTGTATCTGGGAAACGCAACGTTAATGAAAAAAGAAAGCATTATACGATGTACCCCCACTATTTCACTCACTTTTATTAAGTATAAACGGTACACCTTGTAAAGATACAAATTTATAGTTACGTAGATGTAGTGTTAGGTACTAGCTTTTCCTGAACTATTTCGATTTAAACCTGTAGCAGTTTAAAGAAAACTGTTATTACGTCAAACGGAGTAAAAACGAGGCAAACATATTTTTCGTGATACCTATAGATATATTAATAATAATAATAATAATAATAATAATGATTTATTTGCCTTTTAGACATGAACAACATGTTTAGGAATAGTCACACAAACACAAACATATTATTACTAAATCGTTTATTAATAGGTCTGGATATGATAAAAAATGTAACTTGTGACTACCGATAAAGTTCCAATTTCCAGTGTTATTGAGAAATAAGATAAACTATTAATTGAAAAGGTATGCCGCAAATTGAAACAATACTTTCTACCTCCACTTAAATCAAACTGATAATATTGTATTTCCAGCAGAAACGGTTTTATATTTACTTTTAATATCTATTTTTCACATCTTTTTAGAAAAGGTGTAGTCCCATAATAAAGTGTCAAATTTATACAGGGTGGTACGAATTTTATCCAGGAAACTTCGATGGTAGATAGATCTCTTAAAAATAATGTGTTTGCCTTATAAACATTGGTCTAGAACAGCCCCGTTTTAGAAATACAGGGTGTTGAAGTTGTTATTTTTTTTTTATTTATATCTCCGGAATCTATTAACCGATCTCCATAAAATTTAGTACAGATAATCTACGTTACCTTCCCTAAAATATGAGCTTTAACGGTTCAACCAGTAGTGTACAACTGAACAGGGTTCACCCCTTTTTCACAAAGAAGCCTATGCCACTGCATTTTTTACAAGACATTGTAACTGATTAATATTTTAATGCACAAAATACGTAAGAAGGTAACTTCAATTTTTTCTCTAAGATTCATCGTTCTCAAGTTATTCGTACCAATACAATCTCCTTGTGGCAGACCCTTCTAACCATAGTATTACAAGAATATTTATGTTTATGCTTAAAAGTGAGTGCAATTTGTAAGCACATCAACAAAATTATTTACACTCCCTTCTACACTACCTGTGAGGTAGTGTTCCTGGTGTGTTTTAGTTTTCCCTGGAGGCCTAATACTCTTTGCAAATAAGAACAATTTAAATCAAAATAATAATAAAAACGTATTTACCAAGCAACAGCAACTAAACAAGGAACAATATTAACGTTATGCATTAAAAACAAATGTTGAAGATGAGAACCACCCACATCGATACATTTCTGACATCTTCTATTAATTGAATTAATTAAAGCTAATATCATGTGGTGGTTTTCTTTTAATTCATTACACTCGCCTTCTATACGTTGCAGTAGTTGTGGTCTTGTATCTGTTGGAGTAGAATGAACTTTACTTTTCAGATAACCCCAAACATAGAAGTCCAGGGGTTTGGATATGGCAATCTGGCTGGCCAAGACATTGGACCCTCTGCACCATTATGGTTGACATTGGCATTTGGTCTTCTACCTATCCATCGCCCCATATCATTTTTATTACGTCATTCTTATATTATTCTCCCAGAATGCGCAGAAGCACCATCCATTGTATCCAGCTATTTTGTCGTATATTTAATGGAACATCCTCTAATAATTCAAATAGATGGTTTTCTAGAAAGTTTTGTAATAACTGGGAATTTAGACGGGGTGCCAAGAAGATCCACAAACTTTATTGCGAATTATTACGAACCACACGATAACAGAAAATTCGTGTTGAAAAGATCTTGTCCGAATTTCATGAGGATTTTCTTGCGACCAAATATGCAGAATGTGAAAATTCACTATCCCTCGCCTTTGGTAAATGTACATTTATTATTATTTTGATTTAAGTTGCTCTTATTTGTAAAGATAGTGGGTTAGGCTTCCAGGCGAAACTAAAACGCGTCAGGAAGTCTACCTCACAGGTGGTGTGGAAACGAGTGTAAAGAATTTTGTTGAGTTGCTTACAAATTCCATTTACTTTTAAGCATAAACATAAATATAATTATTGTAATATTATGGTGAGAAATGTCTCCACAAGGGGATTGTATTGTAAATTTTATTGAGATCGGATAATAGATTCCGGAGGTATAAACAAAAAAAATTTTTAACAACTTCAACACACTGTATCTCTAAAACGGGGCTGTTCCAGACCAATGTTTATACGCCAAACACATATTATTTTAAAGAGATCTATCTGCCCTCGAAGTTTCCTGCATAAAATTCGGACCACCCTGTATACTATTATTAAATGGTATCTTCATTAAATGTAAATTAAAAGTGTTGCCTTTTTGTATAGATAATAATAATACTGAATTATTATCTAATTTGTTTCCTATCCAGAGTAATAGATTGGAATGCCTTCGGTTGGAAAACATGTTGAATGTTAATTATCCGCTTTTTCTTCCTGGTGGAAATTTAAAAACAATGATATCACAGGAATAAATACTATCACAAATAAGATTTTTGCCTCTTCTGAACCGTTTAGATATTGTTACTAATCTTCTTCTTGCGCAGGGTGTTCAATTTTTTAATAAATATTGTGAAGATAAAATCTTGTCAGATATATTTTCAGTGTTTCAAGATGCAGAAACCGAAATGTTTTTACCGATAGATCCCGAATAATTGATGGCACCGCTACCTACAAATATTTTGTGTGCCGCTCTCCTGTTATTTTCGCTCTTGTAGTTGGCAAAATTGACAGTGATTTACTTCATTCAGTGCCGGGTTAAGTGCAGTGGCAATAGGGTCACGTATTCATTGTAATCACAAAAATACAACACAACCAGCAGAATGTTAGCTTTAATTGATCTCAGGGGTTTATTAATTTGTTAAAGGAAAGTATTAAATAAAAATGATTTAGATATTATTACTATTAATCTCAAAACTAGAATCAATTTTTAACAATTATTTATCTATCTTATTTTTTTATGCGAACTTCAAAGTAAAGGCAACAATTTTTAAATGAATTTAAGTTTACTTTCCTAATTTAGAAATGCGAATAAAAAATCATGTATTGTGTATTTTTAATTTTGACCAAAATTCTGTCCTTACCGATAATAATAATTTTTGTAACTAATTTGTTATAATTTCTAACAACTATTTAAACAATCAAATGAGGAATAAAAATATGTAATATTTTTAATCACAATTTATTTATAATGACTGTTCAAAATGTATGTCTTCTTTCTGTATACATAGATTTACTCGTCTTCTTAAACTGTTAAATAATTTATTTGTTATGGCATCCTTTAGTTCATCCACTGTGTGTAAAAGGTTTACATATACGGAATTTTTTAATGTTCCAAAGAGATATTAATCGAAGGGAGTTAAGTCCGGAAATCTTGGAGGCCATAAGTCTAGACTAATAATGTGAACGTCCTAAATTCTCTTAGGAACTCCAGTGTTGTGTTAGCTGTGTGTGATGTTACCCCATCTTCTTGAAAGTAACTATTGTGCAATTCATCATCATGTAGCTGATTTAAAAATGCAAAATGTTTTGTCCATATCGCTCAACAGTAACATTATTTTCAAAGAAAATAGGTCCAATTATTCTTCGCCGAGATATGGCTACCCAAACTCCTATTTTAACGGGATGTAAAGTCGTTTACGACTTTACATCCCGTACGATAATTTTGTGAATTTATGTTGTGTTATTTATCCACTAAGATGAAACTCATCGGTAAAAAAAAAAGTTGTATCTAAAAAATTGTCATCGTTGAAGTTGTTGTTAAACCAGTTACAATAGTTCACTCTTTTATCATTATCTAATGGTAACAATTCTTGCACCGTGGAAACTTCATATGGATGTAAATGTAATTTTCTTACAGCTCTGTGTACTGAACCATATGACATTCCTATAATTAATATTTTTAAATACTGATATTTAACGTTTTATAAATATTTACCCGCCTGAGCTGAAATTTGTCGTAAAGGTTTAGTGGGGTTTGCTGCTAAACGCCCTCTAACATCCTCCAGTTTATCTTCAGTTAAAACTCACTTTCTTCCAGGTGAGTTCCCTTTATAAACACTGCAAGTATTTCAGAATAGTGTCACCAAACGTCGAAAATGCTGAGCAAAAATATAATATTCTCTCGTTGACCATTCCAAAAGTAAGCATCTGCAATAAAATCGTTTAACGAAAAGACCATTTTCTAACTTTCGACAATTCGAGTACTTTATATCGAAGAAAACATCAGTATTTTGCTTCCTTACCACAAAACTAACAGTTAACAGATGATTAGCATTAAAAACACTGCTTATTCAGAAGATTAACAATAAATTAAAATAAAAATACAATCGGCGAACATAATCAAAAGCACAGACGTACGTTTCTGATTTGACAGATCGTGAAGGTCGAAAATCTAAGAACACGAAAAGTAATTTTGATCAAATGGAAGTAAATTTTAATATCTTTGGTAACATTTACGTGTGACATCAGCTTCAATCATTCTGGATCGCTTGGTATAATACGATAAAGTTGAGATAATAATAAAAATACTACGAATATTAATTCGCAGAGAAACTACTATTACTCTCTAAACATGGTTTTTGACAGTGAATAAATAGATACTTCTTTTTTCTTGTTAAACAATAAAATAGAACTAGAAATACAGAATGAGTGGTTTTCTTGGCAAGTGATGAAATTCATTTGACGATAAAAATAAAATTAAGGTCATACTTTCAGTCTTATCTAAAGCTTTTGATATGGATTGCCTTGGAACAGATTGTTGACAAAATTATGTAGATATGGGATAATACGTATCAGACGACTGCAGAATTACCATCACTGATAAAGCTGGAATGTGTATAACTTCCCAATAGGGGTTCCACAGGGTACAGTAGTAAGACCATTGTTCTTCGATATTTGCAGAAATATTCAGATGATACATGTGACAGCTTAATTATGTTAACGTAAAAATTATCATGTGTTCCCCACAGTTGAAACACGATATTAGGAAGCAATATTTTGTTAAAAATAAAAAAAGGCTAAGATTTACGTTATCTATGTTATATATTCTACTGATTTATAGGTTAAAGCAGTAAAAGTAACTTGCGACAAAATTTGCCTACTGATTCCCTCGCCAAAAAAATAAATAGGTAAATAAATAAACAAAAACTCTCCCAAAAATGGAATCCTTATAACAACGTCTTTGATAAATTGTTTATCAACAACCTATACAGGGTGTTAATGATAAGTTTTGCCAAACTTTAATGGCGTCTTCTTGCGATGAAAATAATCAAAGTCTGCCTTTAAAAATTTTTGATAGGACGCTTCCCTACGGAGATGCAGGGAGTTAAAAGTTTCAAATATTTATATTATTTTTTCCGTAACTTCACTGGTATAAAAGATTGAGTGATAAAATAATTTTAAATGTTTTTAAAATGTACAATCAATTTGTGGCAATAAGGTATTCTTATAAAGTATTTGTAAAATTTACTGGGAAATCAAATAAGAAGATACTTTAGTACCTACGTTGCTATTTATCATTTTCTATTGATTGCTAAATATGTAACAATAAATTCAATACCTAATAACTGAAAATTAGGCTGTTCGCATTGTTGTAACAACCAGTGACAAAATTCAATCCTCCGTTGATAGTCATTTTCATTTAATGCATGAATTCGATGTACATGATATGGACGTAATTGCTGCTCACGCAAGACGTTCCAGATTGGTATGTACAAGTGATACACCCAAATCTGTTGATATCTGTCTGGTACTGGTAGATGGGTCTTCATCTACAAATTCCACAATTCTGTTTTTGAGATGAACTGTACAAACAGCTCTTTCTCTTGCTCGACGTTTTAGTAACGACAAACATGCAGTTTCACGAGCTCGACGATGAACTCTTGAAAAAGTATTCCTTGTTGGACAACGTCGATTTGGAAAAGTCTTTCTATAAAGTCGTTCAGCTTGTCTAGCATCGCCATTCGCTCTACCGTATGTAAAATGTATATCTGCTTATTCAATATTTGTATAACGGGCCATAACTAGCAGAGAAACGCGACAAAAATGTGTGACAGTTTCAAAATTATTTCCTAGCAGGCGTTACATAGTGTTTTGAAATCTCTCAAAAATATTAGGTATTGAATTTATTGTTACACATTTAGCAATCAATAGAAAATGATAAATAGCAACGTAGGTACTTAAGTATCTTCTTACTTGTTTCCCAATTATCTAAAGACCAGTTTTTACGAATACTTTACAAGACTACTTATTGCCACAAATTGATTGTACATTTTAAAAACTTTTAAAACTATTTAAAAAGAAGTGGCGTGCGATTTTTTTTAAAAGGTAGGGGACACCGGGGCTACTTGTCGCAGATTTGGTATTAATTAATTTTATAAGTTGTTTTTGGAACTTTTTCAAATAAATATGGTCATAAGATTTTTGTANCGTTTTGGTAGCGACAAACATGCAGTTTCACGAGCTCGACGATGAACTCTTGAAAAAGTATTCCTTGTTGGACAACGTCGATTTGGAAAAGTCTTTCTATAAAGTCGTTCAGCTTGTCTAGCATCGCCATTCGCTCTACCGTATGTAAAATGTATATCTGCTTATTCAATATTTGTATAACGGGCCATAACTAGCAGAGAAACGCGACAAAAATGTGTGACAGTTTCAAAATTATTTCCTAGCAGGCGTTACATAGTGTTTTGAAATCTCTCAAAAATATTAGGTATTGAATTTATTGTTACACATTTAGCAATCAATAGAAAATGATAAATAGCAACGTAGGTACTTAAGTATCTTCTTACTTGTTTCCCAATTATCTAAAGACCAGTTTTTACGAATACTTTACAAGACTACTTATTGCCACAAATTGATTGTACATTTTAAAAACTTTTAAAACTATTTAAAAAACCAGTGGCGTGCGTTTTTTTAAAAGGTACTCTACTCCCCTAATAACTACGCCAATGCGAGTGTATTATGGAATAAGTTATCCAAGAAAAAATAGTCCTTACTAAAAAATGTCATCAATGTTATTACTAAATATTTTTTGCCAGTGAAGTTAATCGAAAAATTATATAAATATTTGAAACTTTTAACACCTCCCTGTAGGGAAACGTTCTATCAAAAATTGTTATTGGGCAAAAGTTGATTATTTTTATCGGTAGAATACGCCATTAAAGTTATCATTAACACCCTGTATAGCTGGCAGGCTTATAATTGGAGCAAAAACTAACCAGTGGCGTTGGAATTTAGAGTGGTCGAAGGATTTGATTTTTACTGTTAACTGTGTATTTCGTTTTAAAATAACGACTCTGCGAAACAGTTAATTAATGTTAAGTTTTGCTAGAAAGCAGCCTTAATCTTGCATAAGAAACCATTTTCAATAATACGTACCTTTCCAGGTTGTCCTACATTGTAGATGAAATAAAAACTACAGAAAGGAAATATCTGGAAGATTTAAATAGAGTGGTTACGGTAAGGATACAGATCATATTTTATCAAGCATAGTTTGTTACTTTTGTCTATTGTTTTAGAAATATAAACCATACATTGAAGAACACACTCCAACCAATTTAATTGGCAGGCAATGTTATATATTTGGAAACATTGACAAGTTGTATAGTAAACAAAAGGAGTTTTTTGTGGCTCTGGAAAATTGCGGGGATACCGTAGACGAAGTTGTCAAAACATTTATAGACTTTGTAATATTAACTCGCTTGCTAATTAAATATTTATCTAATTAAAATATTTTTCAGGAAAAATTATTCAGACTCTACCCCAGATACTTTAAAAATAAACCAAAGGCTGATATTGTATTGAAAGAATTTAGTCACATCATAAAAGTAAGTAGATATATTTCCTATAGATTGATGACATTAACCTTTCCATCATAAGCTTGAAGCTAAAAAATAATAATATACCAAATGAGTCATTCTCATGCAATAATGACTCATATATGTAATCAATAATCATGTAAGATTTTAAGAATATCAAAATAAATATTGATGTACCTATTTATACCTATAATTAAGTATGAAAATGATTAATTATATTAATTAATTAAGCTTACATTGCAATGAGCATTTTCTAAATCGTGAATCGTTTTTAATTTCCACTATTGGTATATCGGAAACCCTAAAAGGTACCCACCTGGTTAAAAAGTCTTTTTCACACACTTGAAGGCAAAAAAAAGTTCGAATAGAGAATTTCGAATAGAGAATTATCTGAAATATATTGAAAGAGCTGAGGTTACTCAAGATAGAAAATTGAAATTAGATTACTTACAGGGCATAATAACTTAGGCTGAATTTCAATTTACAAAAAATAAAAAATTAAAAAATTGTGAGCCTGCTCCTAGTGAGAACATGACAGTAAAAACCTTTAAAATGACTTAATTTTGATTGAAGGTTGAATAATAATTTAATCCTTTTTTTGTGAAAGAAATTTTGAGAAAATTAAAAAAAAAACTACAGTTATCTACCTATACCAAAAGAAGGCTTTGGTAAAGGGATATTAATTTACTATGGTTTTTCTAATATAATGTTGTACAATTTTTTCAGCTAAATAGTAAAATATTTTTTTACAATCGTTTAGATGTTCACGACTTACATCCTTTCATAAATTAACTGGTTTTTTTCTCTTTCCAAATTTATTAATTTAGCCAAATTAAACCATAATCGAATTTACTTGCTAATTTATTGAATGATGCTTATCGTATTAGGTATATTTTATTAAACATTACCAAGAGAAACGTACATACAAGCAATTCAAATAATTTTTTCTTCTGTGGTGCCGCTTTAAATATCTAGTTACTATTTTACAAACAAATCACTATATACCGTCTTCTTCCCCGGTCGTAGGCCATGTAATAATATCATTACAGAAATCTTGAATGTGTCCAATATTCACATAGTTAATTTTTTTTAATATTTATAGCAAACTTTCCATTTGGGTAGGCCTTTTGGTATGATAACTGAACAGTATTGTTAGTATTAATGGCTAGGATGTAAGTACTTTTCTGCAATCCTTCAATAAATTTAAGAGTTTCAACAGTTCCCTTTCTGGGTTTGTCGTAACGAAATTCCATGAAACTCGAAACAGTAAATGATTCCCTTTTATCAGGTGTAGTACTTTTACCTGTGGTTTCTGATGAAAGGCAATTTTTTGTAATGCCTTCACCACCAGTCTTTAAAATTTCAAACATTGCTGTCATATATAATTTGAACAAAGAATTTAAAAATAATAATAAGACTATTACAGAAATGGTATGCACGTGCGCTAAGTGGTGAGTTGTGTAGTTGTGAAAAGATGTATGTCAGCGACTTATACACTTTTATAATGAAATTGGATTATAATGAATTTGGATTAGAAATATGTAAGTCTGGACAGTAGTGACATATATCTTTTCATAACTAAACTATAGATGCATGCCTCAAGTATCGTTTTCCGTTGCTGAATTATTTTTGACAATTTGGTGACTTATATCCTTTCACAAATAAGCGATTCAATTAAAGTATAGTCAATGGAAGAAACGTTAAAGTGACCTATTAAATTAATTGAACGTGAGTACGATTTTTAGCAGCTTCAAAATGTGAAGTTTTATATAAAAGCTCCAAATGGGAGATGTTACAGTATTGAAAAACAGTAAAATAACGTAAAGATTCTAGTTAAATATAACGTTGAGAGGTGGGATATTTCATTGGTTATTCAACTGAAGGTTGAGGTATTAATAAACGCTATTTTAATGTTCATGTCCTCTCGGTTATTTTCAGATTCTTAACTATGTCGTTATATTCAGTGTTTTAATAGACCTGTATGACCTTCAGGTGCATGAAAACCGTAATGGTAGAAATAATCAATTTAGACGCTGAAAAGGCTTCAATAAGTGATGCATATGTACTTTGTTTGCAATCCTGCAATCCTTCATTAATTTAGGGAGTTACATGTTAAATGTTTGATCTTACTTCTTTTTTTTGGAAAGTTCATTTTTTATAAATTATTCTGATTGTCTTATGCATATGATTCACAAAATGCCATTATCAACAACACAAACATCAGGTATACTTTGGTCTTCTGCAAAATTCTTTTTGTACTTCTTTTAACAGGAAGCATCTACATATCCCCACTTATAAATCAGTGCTTTTGTTAGTAAATACTCGCCTTCTTTTTTTGTACTATTAATCGCCGAATAGTATAATCTAATGCTGACTGGAATTTTATTTCAGTTGGTACTCCTGTTAACTTGGTTTGCAGACTTCTTAGCGTTTCGAGAGACATATAGCTCTTTTCTTCAGAAAAAACTTCGGCACCCTAGAGCGCAACGTTTACAGAAAGCTAGCCCACACGGATAGATATCTGAACGCTAAACCTCATTACAGAAACATGGTAAGATTAGTACATCGAGTATCCTCCTGCTGCAAGCCATAACACTTGAATCAAGATCTACAACATCTATCATCTATTCTTAGAGGAAATGGATACATGGACAGTAATATTAAACGCGCTATCAGAAGGATACTTCAAAACAAGGAAGAGGAAGAATATCTTGCAATGATTTTTCTGTGTTATGTACTGAAAAGACAGTCTAAACCTGGGGAAAAAAATTAATACTATCTACAAGATCTCAGGGAAGATAGAATTACCCTTTCTCAAGACAAGTTGCAAAAAAGATCTACTCCAAGGCCCCTGTGTATAAAGCATTTCGGGAAAGTATTCATTGGAACAACACTGGATTAATTGAGCACCAGTGTTAATTGGAAACTAGCACCATAACAAAATTAGCAATTGTGGAGCACAGTTCAAATACAGAACGCGATAGTCTTAATCTCCAGTACCAGGTTTCTTTTGACGAATAGAGCGATATGCCTCTCGAAACGTCAAAAAAGTCTAAACCAACGACATGACAATCAGTCCAGAAATTGTTGAACCATTGATACTTCTGTTATTTAAGTTTCATCTAAATAACAGGTTTTGTCAAAAGTCTGATAAATTGGTTTTGCACGTAGAAGGCTAAGCTTTAAGAGCAGCGAGTTTTTTTGGTAATATCAGGCTTTTTAATGTGGTAGGTTTTTTCTAATGATTCTAATACATTTTTAACTGTATTTTCGATAGTAAGTTTTTTCCGAAACCGGAGGTTCATTGGGATAGCCAGTACTCTGCAATTTTTTGTTCAAAGTACTCAGAAAAATATTTACTTGATTTACCTGACGCTCCACTAGTTGTTGGTATATTTATCACCTTCTCTAATATATCGTTTAATATGAAATATCCATCTATTCATTTTGAGTAGTTACCTATTTAAAAAGTTTTGCATATTAAACAGGTATTCTCGCCATTTGTAATGGATTTACTTATCAGTGTTATCACACTTCAGCTTTAAAAGATTCCTGAATGCATCGTATCAGTTATTTACCCCAAATGTGTTAATGACGTACAAATGCAAAGCAAGTTTTACGTTTTTTTTTTGTTAGCATCATTGTGCTATGTATGGAACAACACTTGTCGAAATATGCTCTTCTGGAGAACATCTCCAAATACAAGTAAATTATGACAGATTTTATGAGATAATTTTTAAGTGTTTCTATAAAGCTAGATAATAGTTCTAAGGGATAATTATTAGCACTTCAACGGCATATTGTTTCCGAAAAGCACATGCTATTATATTTGACAAATAACACAGCTCCACAAAAAAAAAATCGAGAAAATTACCCCTGCAGTCTGACTATGTCTATCATATGTTTTCGAGGACGCTGAATCCAAATTAGGGGTCCATTTAACCCCATCACATCAAGATTTTTCATAACCTCAACAAATATGCAAAAAACGTAATAAATCCCCCTATCCATTGGTTATTGGGATTGAGTGGTCAATCCCAATAACCCAATAACCCCTTAATCTCTTAAACCCCTTAACCCCATAACCTCATAATGCCATAACCCCAAAACCCAAGGTCCCGGTAAGAAAGAGACTTATGCACGTTGAAGCCTGAAACACAGTATGTTCGAGGCATGAACCTTAAACCCACATTCTTCAATAACCCTATAACTCCGAAATCCCATAACCCGGTGAGAACGAGACTGTTGTTGGGAGAACCTACGTTTTGCCGAACCCAGGAACAACGTTGAGTACTAGGTTTCCCTTCCCTTTGGGGTGCTTTTTGAAAGTGTGTTCCCCTTGCCTCAGACGAATAGCAATGATGTCCCAAGATTTGACTCATAAGGGTTCCTACATAAGGCTATTCTTTACTGGGTTATTAAAGAGTATAGAAGAATGTTCATAGGTTACAAGTCAAGGACGAAATTGAAATGCACGTAGAGCCTATACTAGACTATAGCTGTCCCCCAAGATTACATAGGAGAAACCTATAACATAGTGGTATAGGTTTAAGGCTCAAAAAGCATGCACGGCTCGAACATACTGTGTTTCAGGGCTTCAACGCGCATAAGTCTCTTTCTTACCGGGTTTTGGGATTTTGAGGTTATGGGATTTAAGAGTTTAAGGGTTTAAGGGTTTAAGGGTTTAAGGGTTTAAGGGTTTAAGGGTTTAAGGGATTAGGGGATTAAGGGATTAAGGGATTAAGGGATTAAGGGATTAAGGGATTAAGGGGTTATGGGGTTATGGGATTGAGTGGTCAATGGATTTTTTGAGGTTATGAAAAATTCTGACGTGATGGGGTTAAATGGACCCCGAATTTGGGTTTATCGACCACGAAAACAAATGATAGACATAGTCAGACTCCAGGGGTAATTTTCTCGATTTTTTATGGAGCTGTGTAATTATCACAGGTCGACAAAATTTAGTCGTTCCTATAACCCAGAAAGCAGAATATAATTTCCCGAAAGATTTTTGTGCTCTGAATTCGAATCCGAGGAGCAAATTTCTCAATTGGCTCTAATTTTCGAGATATCCTAACCTAAAGTTGCCAAAATCGCACTGTGTTGTTAGTATATTCAAAAATTGAGAGACGAGTCAAACTACTAAATTTCAACTTGCGATTTTTCAAAGACGAAAAATGATATCGGGATAAATCCATATGCGTTTTAAAGAGTAAGTATAGTACTTTAAGACCCCATTAATGATTTCAGCAAAAAATTTACCTTTCCATGTAACATAACCTCAAGTATGTAAAAAAATCGCGATTTTGGCACTTTTAGGTTAGAATACCTCGAAACCAACAGCCAATTGAGAAATTTGGACCTAGAATTCGAATTCAGCGCACCAACCTTGGAAAAAGTACATTCTGATTGTTGGGTTAAAATCTTGTCGGCCTGTGAATTTACTTATTTTAGTACTAGATAATATCAGAAAAACTGTTGTTTATGCAATGTTTTCATTTGTAAAACTTACTTAATAACCCCACTGAAAGTTTTGTTTCTTTTATAATATTTGTATTAGTTTATAACGTTTCATGACGTAACGTATTCATGATTATTGTTTTTTTGCACAATAGCTTAGTCAGGCTAAATTCGACGAAAGACTGGACTTATCATCATATCTATTAACACCTCTACAAAGACTGGGAAAATACAAATTGTTCCTGGAAAACATAGAGAAACAGCTGACCAAATTGAAACTACCCACGGGCAATGTACAAATGGCTCTGGATATAATTAAGGGAGAGATGTCGAAGGGTAATGACTTTGTGGCAATTGAGTCTATTGAAAATAGTCCTATTAATAAAGAAGATTACGGATCTTTTAAAATGAGAGAAAAATTCAATATACTGAAACCGAGGAGGTTTGAGGCTATGGTATTCTTATTCGAAAATATTATCGTATTTACTATATGTGATCCGGTAAGTATTTAGAGTTAAATCATAGTAAATTACTTAGATTATACTTACAACGGGAATAAGTTTGCGGATGTGTTAGATCCACCCACGGGTGCGCACTGGAGTTCTGGATCAGAGCACCTTGAAGAGGAGAGATAGAACTTTTGCGTTTGTATAACAAGTTCTGTACCTCAGCCGTGAACTTATTCCATTTGACTTGTATTTGTTTCTTACAAAGCAGGTAGCTACAGGATGCTTTCAAAAGAAAATTTAGCTAGTAATGTATTCCATTTAAGACTTTTCCTGCACGATCGTTTAACAAGATTCAGAATGTTGAAAATCAAAAAAATCACCTTTTATAAAATATTCCGGAAAATGTTTGATATAGAATAACAAAACTTAAGCTAATGATTTATCTAATAAAAGGTAAAAATTCATTCAATTCTGATGAAAATATGTGTATCAGTGGCGGAAATACCGGAATTACTTTCGCTAAAACCTCAGATATTCGACATCATTGGATATTTTGAATATTCAATCAATAGGTACTTCTAACTTGTTATTTTAAAAAATAGCCATTTTCGACTCTAATTTAAACCTAACATAGAATTACCTGTTTCTATAAATAAATAATTCTCATTTTCCTGGTCAAACTTGCTGTCTATAACGAAATGCAAAATTTCTACGCCACTGATTCTTTTCCGACTAGTCATTTCTAGCAAAAAAATCCTATGAACATTACCTGAAAAATGAGTAGTTCCAGAGTGGTCTTATATTTTATGGAGTTTTGGTAACACAATGAAAGTTAAAAAAAAAGGAAGAAAACGAAGATTATTGTTTAATGGAAATAAGGAGTTAAAAGTAGTGACTAAATTTTCAAAATATACAGAGGCGTCAAAGTTCTAAGGTTTTAACCAAAGCGACTCCCAGTATATGCATCATTGGTACCTGTATTTACATCCGAATTTAGGGGATTTTTAATTTTAATCAGATAAAACATTAGCATAAGTTTCATTTTCTGCATCAAACTCCAAAAGATATTCTAGAAAAAGTAAATTTTCTTTTTTCTTTACTTCAAAATCCTACATGTCTAAAACTGTTGATTTGTAAACCTATAACTTTTTACCTTGAAATCATTCAAGAAATCGCCCTTTAAAGTTTCTGGAATTACTCAATACACACCCTGTGGGTTTTCAAAACACATTATACAAACTACTATAGTCTTTAAAAGTTTTATGTCAAATATATTTCAATAAAAAATAAAAACTGCCTTTTTCTCTAAGATTTGAAGTCAAATAAAAAATAGACATGATATTTTAGAATTATCTAATGTTGTAGACCAGAAAACTATTTAAAAAATAATAACATTTACATTTTAAAATACCTTTTTTGTGCAATAGTTACTATATTTGTCTTCTGTGTTGATGTTATCATCACATTATCTTGTTTACAAGATCAGTTTTAATAATTTTAGTTAGTATTTTATCTTCACTGATAACAAAATTAAGTTTGGCAAGTTATGGCTTCCTTGAAAATGCTCGATTTTTATACTTATATGTATACACATATATATTTTTATATGAATTAAAAAGTTTGAAATTTTATAATCACCATAATACTAAATAAATATTTTAATTATTGAATAAAATGCTGAGAATTTTAAACAAGCAGGGATGGATTTTTTAGATTTTCTAGTTTTCCTAAGAGATAAATAAGCAACTAACTTAAAAAATAGTTTCTAAACAGTTTTATATACTGCCGTAGTACCTATTCGTTTAAATGAAGAATAAATAGATAATTATTGTTCTTAGACGTAAGAAAAACAAATAGTGCCCTACTATTTTGTTGCCTAACTAGGTTTAATAAAGGTAACCATAATCAAAGAGAACAGTTTCATAACATCTAATCTTTTGATAAAATCAGTTTCTCTTCAAATTATTTCTTAGGAATTTATCTCCATTTTTTATCTGTTATACAATTATTGGATTGATGATTTGAATTATAGATCAAGTGATACTTTTCTCCTTGACATAGTTCTTAGAGATATTTTGTACAGTATCCAACACTTTCGATTATAAAAATGACAAAATTAAAATAGGTACAGATACAGATTTTGTAAGTACTTTTCAACATGTTTATTTAAAAATTTGTTAACTATTATGCGAGCAAACTGTTTTCGTAATAACTAATAAAAATTCGATTTATCATTATTAAAATATATTTGTCTTATCCCATTTATATTTATTTTAATAATTATTATAATCATTTATTTACTATTTTAGTGACAGTTTAAGCTAATAAGATCATTCAAATAAACTCAAAAATTTTCCTAAATCTCATCAAAACAAATCAAAGACAAGTTAGTAAATAATTATCCAAACATAAATACAGATCGTTCTTTTGTTTTGTTTAATTAATTTAAATTTGTTAAATTAAGTCTACAAATATTTAATCGTACATACATTTCTATACCTACCCTAAAACATACCCTTGTTACTATTAGCTCTTCTACTTTCTTGTTTCATTGAGAAATGACAATTTTTTTATATCTTAAACTATGAAACGGTTGACTCTTAAAATGTACACAATATAAATGAGACAAAATGATAAAAGGAATTTTGTACATATTTTTTAAATTGAATTGATAAAAATTAAAAAAATCTTCTCCCAAATATGTACAAAAATCCCTACTATATCCATTTTCATTTAATATTTTATGTTATTCATATATGCACAAAAAATATTATAAATTGATGATAAACCATCTTCAAGGAAGTGTCCAACTATATTTCATTATTATGTGAATCTTTATACATATATTTATTTTTCAGAGAAATATGGACACCTATAATTACTATGCATGTATAAAAATGATAGATTTAAGAATAGCAACATTTGAAGATTTAACAATACATCTAACCGACTTTACAAAGAGCAAAAGGTTGTCAAGAGCTGACAGATTCACATACATCCTTGAAGCGAAAACGCAAAAAATTAAAGAAACTTGGAGAAAAGCCATAGAAACTATTCTTTGGCAGCAGTTACTTAAAGTGAAAGGTATGTGTAGAGCACACATTAATGTTTTTTCATCATTCAAAGCAATATATAGAAATTTAGAAGCAATTTGTATCATTTGACGCCTAGCAAAATGTTTTATAGTTGTTTGTTGCAGTAAATTCCTTTATCTAACAATCACGAAAATCAACATCTAAAGTTTTATAATCCTTATTGTAATATCTTTTTAGAAAATACTCTGAAAATGTATCAGTCTCCATGGGGCACCAAAAAGAATAAGGTCTCAAGAAGACAAATTAAATCAGCAGGTAAATTGAGCAAGTTAATAATAAAATGTATTACAAAACTAACACTAACAATTTACATTTTTCAGGTACCTCAAAATTTTATATTGAATGATTTCTCAATGATGCACAACATTTTCACCTCTTAGACTGTCTTGGAAGCAGACTCTTTTTACAGAATTATTTATAAATATATTTGTAATTAATTTAAGTAATTGTTACTTTATTTATTGATTAAATATGCTTTTTATGACTCACTTAAGGAATTTTTACTGATAATAACGAGCGATTGTTTTCACTGGAAGTCGAATACTTTATCTAGATGAGAAAAAAAAGGGATATCAATATCAATTATTGATTTGATACTAGTACGTGTTTCTTTTGTACAAGCAAACATGGTCATAAAATGTTGTAAGAACCAAATTTTTCGTAAATATCTTCGATTTTGAATGACTATAAGGAAAAGTATTTATAATATTCTCTAAATTTGGGAGTTAAAACATCATTATTTGTAGTATCAATTATTTAACTATTTTACAAATTAAAACAAAAATATTGGTATAACATCCATACTGTGGCTTATATCGGGTGTCGCAAAATTCACGCAAGTTTTGAATTTTGCGCCATTTGCGCGGTAAGTATTGCCAACGAAAAAAAAAAGACAGCATGACAGCTAGGGTTATTAAGAATGGAGTGTTACACGAAAGAATAACGCATTTTCTTTATTGAGTAATATTTTAAAAATAATGGTTTGGCAGCTTTCGCAATTTTCTTGCAAAATAGTGATTTATCTTCATCAATTGCGAAGAGATTAATTTAAAAATTTAGGGAAACTGGATGAATTAGTGATCTTAAACACTCCGGCCGTCCTTCAACAAGTCGTTCAACACACTACATCGAAGCAGTTCATAAGAGTGTTGCTGATAGTCCAGGAAGCAGTACAGCACTGTGGTCATCAATTGGACATTTCGAGAAGCTCTCTACAGCGTATTTTTACAAAAGATTTACATCTTCATGTTTATAAAGTTCGTTGAATTTATTATGGAACAAGTCGATGCTGATTTTTCGAACAAAATCAGCGATGAGGTTCATTTTCATCTTGATGGCTTCGTTAATCGACAAAATGGTCGCATTTGGAGTTCAGAAAATCCACAAGCGATTGTTGAGAAACAAATGCATCCACAACGTGTCACTGTTTGATTCTGATTTTGAGCTAGAGGCATCATCGGACAATTATTCTTCTACGAAAATGCAGCTGGTTCAGTTTTTTATGCCCAAATTGCAAGATATGGATGTAGACAACATGTGGCTTCAACAAGACGGTGCCACATATCATACAGCCCGAGAAACAATTTAATTACTGCATGAGTCATATCCTAGTCGTGTAATTTACCGTTTTGGCGATAAGAATTGCCACCCAAACCATGCAATTTAATAACTCTGGTCTTTTTATTTGATGTTTTTTATGGTCTAAGGTTTATGCCAGCAGGGCCATGACCACCTGCACCTTGAAAAAGGAAATTGAGCGCTGTATCAACGAGATTTATGCAAAACGGTTATGGATAATTTCGACAAAAGAGTGCGTACCTATCAGCAAAACCGTGGAGGCCATTTACCCGATTAGCTATTTCATACATAATCTTATAATGTAGGTATATTTTATGAATCCATAAAAAAATTAGGTACAATTTTTAATTAAAAACCTGTGTTTTCTATCTTACTTCTTACGTGAATTTTAGAACACCCTTTGAATAAATCTTTACGAAAACTTAATTTATATAATTTAGTTAACGATGCTGTGCTATACACAAATACAAGTATACTCAGATTGTAAATATAATCAGTTTGGTGCAACGAAAATGTACCTATGAATGGCCATTGAACAAATTATAATACAAATATTACCTATATTACCATTATTACATTTTCTGATCCGTATGTAAGTTTCTTGCCCATATAATTTTTATTTTTGGAGATTTTCATGCATTGATGAAAAGACTTAAAAATATCGTTACCAAATATTTAACAATTTGTTAATAGCCGGTAATTATTTGATTGTATCAAGTGTATTTAAAATTAAAACGTTTATTATGTGGCAGGTATATTGTCACTTCAGCATTTCCCTCTCTAGGAATGCTCCGATATATTTCTCTAGTTACTTCGACTGTCGTTACAATGTCTTGACATTTATAACCCGATTTTAAGTGATAAAATTATATGTTTGAATCATAACTTACGTTCGATGAAAAGCATCGTGTTTTTTAAAATTGTTTTAGTTTTTCTTCCGTGACAATTGACAATGGTTAAACAATTTCCTTAGTTCAAACTGTGTAGCACAGCACCATGCATCAATATGTAGGGTCATTCACATAATATTCTATCTCCTTTTAATTTATTTTCTCTCTAAAAAAATGGTACTGATGAAACCAAAACAAACTTTTGTGTATTTCAGATGGAACATCCTATTTGAAGTTTTTTCGATTCTTTTCTTTTTTCTGATTATAATGATATACATTGTCATATATTTGCCATAATGGTCAGCGCAATAATTTGGTATGTTTACTGATTCTGGACATATTCAAGATTACTGTTAAATTTACTAAACAAATCTAAATTTTCAATTAAGAAACAATAACTCATTGTTAAAACTGTTTTATAACCTTTAACCTCTTTTAGACAAAAGTCATATATTTCAAGAATTTTTTTTATAATGCCTGGTTACCCACCTCATTGATACTAACTCCGTTAAATATTTTGTGCCATATGTCATATAAACAATTAGATCGTACTTTCAGAATCCCAGAATAAGAACTTCTTGCTTATCATAAAATTATTCCTTTATGAGAAAAACTTATTTTAAAATTGTCTTTTGTCTAAAACACAATGCAGTTAGTATAAAACTCCGTTTACAGTATAGTGTCTTTTAAATAAATTGTTGTGTATTGCTTAAGTAAATTTAAATTCACAATGTGCTTAAATAAATAAAATGGTTGTGTGGTGCAATGTTACTACCCTCTCTCTCAAATAGCAACCCATTGTATTTGATTACTGTATTTATAATACTATTCTTACCAAGTCACACACCATCCGTGATTTAGCTGTAGTATTTGATAGTAAACTCTTTTTCCCACCATATTACGAATGAAAGCTTTAAAATGCTTGGATTTGTACTTTGCTGCTCTAAGGATTTTTATAATTCCTCCACTTTTAAATTATTATATTCAGCTTTTCTAAATTAGAACTTAATTTAGAATTAGAAATTTCTACTATAATATTTACATAATTAATACTGAAGGCCTTCAAAAATGTTTCTTAAAGGCTGTAGTTTTTAGAGAGACTGGCAATTATCCACCGATTGGTATTCCTCAATGTGATCTTTTAAATAAATTTTTATTTCGCAGTTTAGAGAAACGTAGAGCGTTTATTACATAACGCAATTGACTGCCCTTCTTTACTTTCATTGTTAAATTTTCCTATACCTAGATTATCATCTCGTTTTTCTTCATTGATTTATCTACCTGTGTCACGAATTAATAATTAAAACTCTCCTCTCTCAAATGTGTGATAAATATAATTTGTTTCAAAATCAGATTTTAATTGTGATATAGCCATAATTAAAAAATGCATTTGCAAATTAAATTGTTTAATACTGTTTAATTTATTTAGGTGTCTTATATGATGTAGTAGGTATATGATATAGTTTTCTGTTTGTATCGTCTAAAAATAAATAAATAAATAAATAAATTTAATATGCGCTGGTTCCGTGGCAATCTTGGATTTATTCTCTGTGGAGGATTGTTTTCTAAAAACGACAATAATAATATGTTGTTCCATTTATAGAAACACAAGTTTGGTTATATCTCCGAAATTGTATTTTTATATATTTCTTTTAAATATTAAAAAAAATTCCTACAGCTCCAGTCACCAACACTTCTTTTCTAAATTGAAAGTCAAAAAAGATAAGGGGGTAGCAAAATAAATATTAACACTTGAACTTAATATTTAGTTTCAAATTTTATTTTAAAGAAGTCTGGCAAGGTCTTTTAAATTACTACGAATTCAAAATCGTCAACTAACAGTTTAACCAGAGTTTCATTGTTTGATTGTGGCTTAGACATGGAAAATAATAAAAGAATCAAAAATTGTTTGTAGCATGTTTATCCAATATATGATTCTGCGAAAAAATATATTCGGCTTATGTAAAAGGTATGAATTTCTTTATATCAAACTGATATTTTAAGAAAAAACCTTATTAATTTATTGCACCTGTTATATTTAAATTTTACAGTTTTCATCCTTAAATGGGATTTATCTAGAATAGTAAATAAAAACTAAGGACGCCTGCAGATTTAAAATATAAAGCTAAAACAATTGGATATTTTAAATTTTGTAGATATATATGTAGTATATATGTTTGTATACTTGTAGTTACTTTGGTAGTACATAATTTGTGAGGCAATGCACATCCAGCTAAAAAATAAAAATAACAGAATTTGCATGAATAGATACTGTTTAGCAATGCTCTTACTGTATTTTAAGATAAACTTGACAATCTGCTTTTATGAAGTTGTATGAGCGATAATAATTTTATCGCAACTGATAACGGCGATATGGTTATCATTTTAGAATACAATAGAATCCATTTTTACATAGAAATGTTAACTTAAGTCAATATTTTACAGTAGGTACAAACTTGAAGCTGACAAGCTCTAATTTCCAATAAAATAAAAAGGTTTCTTCTGTAAACATTTTAGAAAGCTTTTTAGATTATTTTTTAGGGATAATAACGTATATGGTATATAAGATACACACTATATGTATATTATACTATATACAGAGTGGCCAAATGAAAACGAAACAGAGCCATTTTCAGGAACTGTGTCAAGATTGTAGAAAAACGCTCAGACCCGTCGATTTTAGATTAAAGAGGGACATTCTTTGCTAGCATTTGACTCCGCCACTTTCACCCCTAATCACGGGCAAGCATCACCCCAAAATATTCAAATGGCATTGGGGGTTGAGTAATATTTTTTTTAAAAGCTCTTACAATTCTCTTTACAACGAACTTTAAATTTTATAATTCCGCCCAATACTTTGAAAAAAATTTACATTTTAAAATTTAAATTATGTTTAGTTGCTTACTTACTACTTAGTTGATTAAATGTTCAAACTGATGACCGCCTGCTTCCATACAAGAATAAAGATTCTGTTCGAAACGTTCGCGCACATTCCGATTGATTGATCTTCATCA